AGACTGCTACTACGCCTGCTACTTTATTAAATAACAATAATAAAAACTGGACAGAGTTCAAGTGCCTATTCTGAGCAATGGGGGAAGCGAGGCAGAAATGGCGAACCCCAAAAATTCTCTCAACCATTGATACCCACAGAAAAGAATTAATCCCACAATTTTGGACGCAACTGACCGAAAGGCAGGCGAATACAAGGAAAACATGGTGTTCTTATGTGACCGTACGGCCGTGCGTCGTGCCGTCGAGGTGGACGACGATGTTGACTAATTCAAGCGCCCTTGAACTGTGTAATTCGCTTTGGCTAACCTGACAGTTGACTACTCTCTGAGTAATTAACACAAGGCGCAAACCAATAATTTCTTTGTGTGACAGCAAAAATATTCGTTCTTAGCACTGTTCATTCTAATTTTCCTGTTTGCTGTTTCAGTCGCCTAAATTGCTCTGACAGATTTTATTTATTTTCATAACAAAGTCTTATTGCATTTTCATTCACGAGATATATTTTAGTTTTATTTATATGCGCCAATATTGCGTTTAAGTGCTTTAAACTTTAGTGAAACCAATATAGTAATTACATTTGTTATAGCGATGTCAGGCATTTATCACTAATCTTCAACATACATTCAATTTACTTTATCTAAGTTTATTTCCAACGAAGCGGCAGCGTTTTCAAACAGTTGCAATCTGCTTTTTCGAGAAAGCAAACGGCTAGAAGCAAGAATCTGTATTCGACACTGCTTTGCAGCAAGCAGCTCGTCTTCCAGAGAAGTTTGCAGAGATATTCGACAAAACGGTATGCTGTAAAGAGGATTTGCAAGCTTTTACTCTTTTGTAATATGATGAGGTTTCTACGGGTTTCTGTAGTTTTAAACAACTTCTTGGCTCCTTCCAACACTGTGGTACGTTCTTACTTTTCTTCGATAGAACGAGGGATTCGATTGTTTTTCGAAAAATGCCAGTTGGTTTCATTTGTGAGCCGTACTGAAAAAAGAACGAGTTTTCAAAGAGTTACGCAGCATGCTACCGAATGACAGTCGAGCTGAGTTTCGCTGCGTATGCCGGACATTGTCCTCCTTTGACCGTCTGTGATTCGTGTCATGTGTAAGGTGGCGGTAGCGGCTAATAGCGAGCTAATGGCATTGTGCCTCTTGATGTGAGGCGAACCAGTGATTGATTTAGCACCATCAATGTTGGTGCTGTTGCCATACGTGTCGTTCGTTAAGCATGTGTTAAAGTGCGTGTTGGCATTCTCTAGAGCTTGTCACCATGCTGCCGGCCGGCGCGGCGCACTCAGCGCTGCGGTCGCAGTGATCAACATGGATCTTTCTCTGCGGTCATCCGTTGCCTCACTATATTGGCGCGTTTCAGTCTTTCGCGGCTGTCGGTCGAGCAACGGGTGATTGACCGTGAACGTCCGATGTTCGTATATCCTTGCCCCTTCCTTTCCTCGCGCCCTCTTCGACATATATCGCAAACGGGTAATCGTGTTCGTTCCACGGCGACTCTAAACAGTGTTGACGTGGCTGGTGTCTGCCAGCCGGTTCAGTTGACGTCGGCGTATGCCTTTAGGGATCGTTCTGGGTTTCGGTTATAGTTGAGTTGGGCTAGATTCTCAAGACGTTCAGCAGTAGCCGGATAGCAACGAACTTCTTGACAGATGCGTTCGTCTCTTTTTATTTTCGTTGACCCTGACGGTGACAAATATCTGAATCTGTTCGAAAGGGCTAAGAAATAAATGTGCGAGCTTGAGCGATGCTTCTTTGGTGGGATTCTCAAGTATCATCCTACCACTGCAAATGATATTATTTTCTCAATTTTTTGGTATCATCAATCAACGATTTTCTCCCATTCTTGCCCATAAATCTCCATGTTCCAGAGGTGAAGGAAAACAGCCTGAACATCAGTCATCCATTTTTAAACAGACTGCCAGACATCCGGAAGGGTAGAGGGGGGAGGCAAAAGGCCTTGCAATAAGTTCTGCTTAGCGACAACCGTTGATAAAATTAGTGCTGTTTGATGCAAAGGCGAATAAGCGTAAACAAGTTTGGCGAAAGTTGTTCTTCTTCACTTTTGTTGTGTTAATATTGTCTTCAACTAAATCTGTATCACGTATACCTAGGCGTGAATATAAAATACATAACGAAGTTACGACGATGCTGACCACAGAGGCTTACCTTTATCTTTCGGATGGATCTATTTTCAAAGGGTACAGCTTCGGTGCTGAAAAGACTTCCGTTGGCGAGTTAGGTACGAAAATTATATTGCTATATTATACATGCATGCACGTACGTTGTTGTAACCGTTTGTATTGAAAGGCCTATGCAGCAGTGAATATGCTGATGATATCTGTATACAAGAAAAGATAGGTGACTTCCTGAATGTAACAAACAGGCGAACAGCACATAAACATTTTACTTGCAAATGATATATTTGTATATTTGACGTTTTGGACAAATCAGACAATAACATACATGAAGGTATCACTCTCATGGTCTCGTCGATTCGACTGACTCATAAAAATAGCACCGTGTGAACATAATAAGTGCAGATAATTAAGAGATCCTTAAGCGCGTAGAAGCAACATGCCATTTATGTCTGAAGAAGTGATGCATTCGTATTCTGACCCACGATACGAAATCTAATTTTTGTTAGTAAACCAAAATATCATAAGTACTTTTGGTTATATAGCGGCATTTGCTTACCGATTTGTTTATTGCCAAATAAACTTTCCTTGGCGTGATGTCATAACAGTTCTCAAACTTATTTAGATATCGATATCTGGCAGCTTTTGTACGACCTAGATTTGAATATGTTTATGCCTACCTTTGGCGGAATTAATTGATCAGGTTGATTTCGGTTAAAATTCTCGTTTGTTCAGACGCGAAGCCGCTGATCTGGAAAATGTGTCTTCGCTCGCACCTTACCCTGAGGACAGCGGTGTAAACGGCTCCTGCGCAAACACACACGTGATTACGATAATG